GAAGGAAGGAAGGAAGGAAGGAAGGAAGGAGAAATATTGGGAGGATGGTAAGAAGAGACAGAGGGTAAAAAGACCAACTCCTTATCTCCCACAACAGGAAGTCAATATATAACATATAAAACTAAAAAATCAAGAAGTAGCAGTACATATGTTATCTGGGGGAAAAAATAGAGATAAAGAAAACCTAAAGAAACAGTTTAAAAATGGAAAGAAGTTGCTTCTGGGGGGAAGGCATTGAATAATCCTTTTTATTCTAAGCATTTTAAAACTGTTTGATTTTAATTTTCTTACATATTTATAACTATTTACATGACTTTTTGAAACAATACATGTACAGCGTTGATAAAATACATTTTAATGTCTAAAAAATAAAGCAAAAGAAAATATGAGACGAGATAGAGAAAAGTAAAGATGCAACAGGTCTATTGAAAAGTCTGGACTTAGTGTAGACAGCAAACAGCTTTAATTTTTTTCCATTGTTGCTTTCAATCACTTTCCAATTGAATTTCATTTTCCTGTTACTTAATGAAATATTGAGCAGATTTCCTAACTTTCTGGTGACTTTTGGCTACTAACTCCATCGCATTTTAAGTGCTAATCTCATCAGTAATTTTAATCTCGTTCCCACCCACTCCCACAAGGCAACTGGCTTTTGGAGTTGGAGTGTGGACCTGGAGGAGTCTGTTCTTTTCAACTCCTGCTGCCAATTTCCTGAGGTGGGATACCTGACCTTGGCTCAGACCTCTTCCACCTGCTAAGCTTCCCCTCCCACTTCATCCCTGACAGTCCTGGTTGGTGAGCTCAAAACCTATCCTTAGGTTTCCTTGAATCACAAAAACTGACACTCCCAACAGGGAGGACAAGCTGCCTGCTGCAGCCTCCTCTCTGCCTGACCATCCCCCAGCTCCCATGTCCCGCATTCAGATGGGCAGAGGGAGACAGATGCCCAGCTGGAGAAAGGACATCATCCCCTCCACTCGCAGTCACAGGTGGATCGCTGGGACTCCTCACTTGCTTTACAGGAGGAGAATGAAGGGCACAGCTCTCTCTACTAGGCTGACAGCCGGTGTGATCCCTCTATTTGTTTCTTTTTAATATAAACTAAGGATTGATAGGAAAAGGGAAGTGACAGCTGGGGGAAACAGAGACAGTTAAACCATCTCTTAATACACTTAATTGTCTCCATCTTTGGCCCTCATCAGTTCCAGGACCACAGAGAAAGTCCCACCCAATATGGTATTTCAGGATTTCTTGGAGTGTTGCTGTTGAGAGAAGCAGAGAAATGGAGCCATTGCTGGAGGAGGATATGGGAATCAGAGAGGCATTTCCTTTATTTATTTCTTTATCTTACTTTCCTTTTATTTCTTCCTTCTTTTTTTCCTTCCTTTCTTTTTTTTTTAGGCTGGAATATAGTGGCACAATCATACCTCATTGCAGCCTCAGGTGAGCACCACTACACCTAGCTAATTTTTTTCATTATTTTTGTATAGACGGAGTCTCGCTATGTTGCCCAAGCTGGTCTCAAACTTGGCCTTAAGTGATTTTCCTGTCTTGGCCTCAAGTGATTTTCCTGTCTTGGCCTCCCAATCCCAAAGGGCTGGGATTACAAGCATGAGCCACCATGCTGGGCCCGGGGAGGTATTTTCTTAACTGGGAAGTATTGCCACATGTTTGTACACTGATGGGAATAACCCAGTAGTGGAGAGCAGATAATGACACAGAGAAAAGGGATGATTGCAACAGCAAGTCCTTGAGTAGGCAAGAAGGCATGGACCAGGGAGTGCACAGTGCCAGCAATAGGAGCAAGGATGGGACAGTTATCGCAGCTCTCCAGAAGACAGAGCATAGGTGGCTACCAATGAAGGTACATTTGAAGATTCTGAATCATTCTCTGCTGATTGTTTTCATTTCTTTAGTGAAAAAAGGAGACACAAGCCAAGAGTGTAGTGGCACACACCTGTAGTCTCAGCTATTTGGGAAGCTGAGGCAGAAGGATGTCTTGAACCCAGGAGTTCCAGGTTACAGTGAGCTACGATCGCACCACTGCACTCCAGCCTAGGCAACAGAGCGAGACTCCATCTCGAAAAATAAAAATAAAAAATCATGCCTGTAATCCCAGAACTTTGGGAGGCAGAGGTGGGTGGATCACTTGAGGTCAGGAGTTCAAGACCAGCCTAGCCAACATGGTAAAACCTCATCTCTACTAAAAACACAAAAATCAGCTGGGTGTGGTGGCGCATGTCTATAACCCCAGCTACTCAGGAGGCTGAGACAGAGAATTGCTTGAACCCGGGAGGCGGAGATTGCAGTGAGCCAAGATCATGCCATTGCACTCCAGCCTGAGCGACAGAGCAAGACTCCATCTTGAACTCCTGACCTCAAGTGATCCACTCACCTTGGCCTCCCAAAGTGCTGGGATTACAGGTGTGAGCCAATGTGCCCTGCCAAGACTCTGTCTCAAAAAATAAAACAGTAAAGATAAAAAATAAAAAATAAATAAATAAAATGAAAATAAAAAGAGACAAAAGGAGCCAGGCCAACAGTGAAGACTGAGAAGGAGAGAGGTGATATTGAAAGTTTGATGACAGAGGAAAAGCTATAATATAGTCATTTCAAAGGAGGAGAGCAACTTGACCATGGCAATAAGCTGGACAACTGGACGAGGCTGTGGGCTCCTGACATTCACCATCCTTTGTGGGCTTCTCTCCAGCCACAGCCAGCTGCTCAGGTGCAGGCAGGGAATGGAGGGTGAAGGGTGCTAAGTTCATCAGAGTTGGGGTTTTGCTAGGGAAGTGTGGATGGAGAGAGAGGCAGGTGTATTGAATGTCATATCAGGGTGTGATGTCAGGGATGAACCATGGAATCCAAACTGATCAAGGTGGAAAGTAGGTAGGCAAGGAGGTCATAGGAAAGTGGATAATTGAGGGGAGGTTGGTGGACTGGGGTCCCAGTGGGAAGAATGCTGCAGCATGTCAAGAGACTGAACATTTGGTGGTTTCCTGGGATTTCCTCCACACCATGACACACTTGTTCCCACTGTTCTTGCTGTAATTCCCTAGCACTGCCTCACTTACAATCTTTCTGTGGGCCCCCTTTATGTTAGGTTAGTAGCCTCTGATACCTCAGATGTATGCCTGCCTCAACCTCTCTGATATGTGAGATTCATAGCTTCCCCAGACCTACCTCACTTTCATTAGGGAGGAAACCTATTTTCTTTCCTCATTATCCATTTTGTTTGTTTTTTTGTTTTTGTTTTTGTTGTTGTTGTTGTTTTAAGATGGAGTCTTACTCTGTCTCCCAGGCTGGAGTGCAATGGTACGATCTCGGCTCACTGCAACCTCCGCCTCCCGGGTTCAAGTGATTCTCCTGTCTCAGCCTCCCAAGTAGTGGGACTACAGGCGTGCACCATCACACCTGGCTAATTTTTGTATTTTTAGTAGAGACGGAGTTTCACCATGTTGGCCAGGCTGGCCTTGAACTCCTGACCTCATGTGATCCATCCACCTCA